TCGATCATAGGATTGTATTGATCGTCAGGTAAAATAAATGCATTATTTTAAATGCGAGCGTTCACCGTTCACTGTTAGTGTTATGATATAGGCGAGGATACGATGCGATGGTCTCCGTTATGAACATACCCTAAGAATAACCGTCGGGTGCGAGTTAATGAGTCAATCTAAAATTACTATATTTTAGCGAAAACTGCATCAAAATGAGTTTAGTAATGATACATGAATTACGTTCATGATACTGAATTTTTTTATCTCATACCACAAAAAAATCGTTATAAACAAATTCGATTGTTTTTTTACACCTAAATTGTAGGCGTTAAAATTAAAATTGTCAGATTTTTAATTTTAATTGTATATATGTCAGATGTCACTTTAAAATTTCCGTTGAGACCAGGAGCCATTCTCTCTTCTGATGCCATCCAATACGTACCTTCGTCGATTTTTAATAATTTTTAAACTGTTTGTCCTTGTATCGTGTTGTATTAATGTATCATTTAATGTTTATGACATTCTCAATATATTGTTGGATAGCCCAATTTTGACGAAATGCCCCTGAAGATACTCTTGTAGCGAGAGTACTTGGGCAAGATTTAATAAAAAACTGTGCTCGATATCTGCCTTTTATTTGATTAAAATTCATTTATTTAAGCATTCAACTTCAAAGATATAACTTCGTTAAAAATTGATAAAATTTAATATTTCTAATTTCATTTTAAAGCTTATAATCATAGCTTTCAAATGAGGTGCTTTAAGTCTTTTACGTTTAGCAGCAAATTTATAAGCAAAAATGTCTACTATAGTCTAGTACAGTACTTTAATAAGCATTTAAAGAATTAAATTATTAGTAACAAATTCCTGTCCAGAAATTCGGATTATCACGTGAAGATTCGGTTTCAGCCGATCAAAATACATAAAAATCAGTTGTAAAATCTCATGCACCTCTAAAGCCTCCTTTGTCCCTATTATAGACTGTTATAGACTAGAACGTGTGAAGTCGAATTGAAATTATTTCGAAGGATGCCAGTGAGCTAGATGACGAAGAACAATGCAATGAGGAATTATTAACTAAGATTGGAAACTTTTTAAATAGATCTCGTATAATAGAAAAATATATTAGAACTATTAAAAACGATGAATAATACTAATAAGGTCGCCTGGGCTACCTCTTGAACCTTTTTTTGAGATATCGTATGAAAGTGATTATCGAAAAAAGTCTCTAGGGAATATTTTTCGGAACGAACCCGGGCTTCTCGCCCTGTATATACGAGGGTGGATTGATATAAAACTGGCCATTGATAGAAAAAACTAGTTTTTTGTAATTAAATCGATTTATTTCTCAACTTGATACACTTAGTAAGACAATGTTCCAATTTTTTTATCCCATCCTTATAGTCCTTTTGCTCGAGCTCTTCAAAATAGGCCGAAGTTTCAGCGACGACTTCATCATTTGTTGCGAAACGGCGTCTCCGAACCATTTTTAGCTTAGAAACAGGAACAAATCGTGGCGCAAGAGTTGGGAATACGCTGGAATTCATAGCCCAATTCGTGTAATTTTGTCTTGGTGCATTGTCTTGGTTTAAGAGCACTTTTTGCCTTCCAAACCGGGGCGTTTTTGACGCAATTCGGCATCGAATCGATCGAATAATGTTGCCTAGTACACACCGTTGATTGTATTTAATTTTTCCAATTAGTCGATGTGGATGATGCCCTTCGCATCCCAGAAAACAGTCGCCATCACTTTGCCGGCCGAATGTGCACTCTTTGCCTTCTTCCGCAGCTCTTCGCCACGTTTGCGCCACTGTTTCGACTGTTCTTTGGTTTCTGGTGTTTAATAATGCACCCAGGTTTCATCAACGATGATAAATCGGGAAAAAATTTCTTCGGATCGCGCGTATCATAGCCAACAGCGTCTCCGAAGTGGTCACACGTTTTTGCATTTGATCGATTGTCAGCAAACGCGGCACCCATCGCGCGGATAGCTTTTTCATGTCCAAATGATGGTGAATGATGTTGTGTCCGCGTTCGTAGGAAATGTTTAGGACCTCTATTAACTCTTCTTCTTAGGTGCCTGTCCGTTCCGAACGTTGGCTATCATTCTATTAACTCACGGACCTTAATTCGATGATCTGCGATAATCATGTCATGGACTTTGTTGATCATTTCCGGCGTGGTAACTTCATTTGGCCTCCCGGGACGCTCATCGTCAAAAATACTCGTACGACCACGAACAAGGCATCTATCAAAGGCTAGTTTAATATCAATCTATCCTCGTATTATCCAACACACATATATGAATATTTTTTAAATTTTTTTTACATGTTATCCAAACCTGTTATATTTTTTTTGCTATAGTTTAGTTCTAATACAAAGTTAATAACGTGAAATAAAATAGTGAATTTTATCTTTAAAAGTTTGTACTGAGAGAGTCCTTCAATTACGCCATGTCTTATGACAAGGAAACGTCAATCAAGTCAATCTGTAAAACAAAAACCATTTACATTGCTGTTTGAAAAATGACGGGAAATGACTCAGAAAGTTATTTAAAGTGACACTACGGTTTAATCGTTTCAAAGACTAAAGAATTAAAGAAGAAAAAAAATCATTAATACGGGATTTTATGCAACAAAACGAGTACAAAGAAAGTACATTGTCGTACTAAAAGAAATTTACTGTTTTCTGTATCAATGTTGGAACGAATTGTGCGTCCGTCTACGCTAGAATAACGGTTGCCGTAGTGCAAGAGAATATGTACGTTGCTACATAACTTTGGTAGTGAGAATATTTAAATACACACAACGCAAAAGTCTAAGGATATTTTAATAATTTGACAATACCAATGACAGAAATTTCATGGCTATATAAATTTGCTTGTACTATAATTGTTGATACAGAACACTCACTTCTTATCAAAAAAAATTTAAAACTGTACACACAATACGTGTTTCAGAATGTTTTTTATAAGGGACAAAAAAATCGACATTTTTATGTTTTGTTTATTTTTAATTTTAGTCACTTTATACCATTCTTGGATAAAAAGTAAGTTAAAGATATTTTATTTTACCATGCAACGACAACATTTAACGTTGGACGAGATGAATAGAGCCGTGGGCCTCCTTCAAGCTGGTATGCGACAAAATCAAGTTGGTGACCAGCTGGGTGTCTCGCAAAGCGTCGTAAGTCGTTTGTGGCGTCGGTTTGAAGACACTGGGAGTCCAGACGAGCAACATCCAGGACGTGGTCGCTCTACAACCGTCGCTCAAGACCAATATTTAATTTTAAATGCCAGAAGGCAGCCAAGAATCACAGCACCCGAGCTGGTTAATGAATTACAACTTGCACATAATGTAACAATTAGCAGCAGTACTGTGGGAAATCGTCTCCATGAAGCCAATCTTCGTAGTCGGCGACCACTGAGATGTCCACCTCTATCTAGAGGCAATCGCGCTGCAAGATTAACCTGGTGTCAAGAGTTTCTAAATTGGACTGACCATGACTGGGCCACAGTTTTGTTTAGTGACGAGTCTAGGTATGGATTTCGTCCAGATTGTCGTCGGACAAGAGTTTGGAGACGACCCGGAAATGGAGAACGATTACGACATCTTCAAGAAGTGTATGCATACAGAGGTGGTACATTAATGGTATTGGGCGGAATCATGATTAACGGAAGAACTGACCTCATTTTCCCACGTGGCTTTCTCACAAGTCAGCAATATTTGGACACTGTTCTTGAACCTGTTGTGCGCCCCTTTGCTGCTGCTGTTGGAGAAAATTTTTACTTTATGCATGATAACGCTCGACCACACGTTGCGCATATTGTAACAAACTGGTTGGATAACGAGGGTATTGATGTATTGCCGTGGCCAGCACAATCACCGGACTTGAATGCCATTGAGCATGTATGGGACATGCTCCAACGAAGAGTTACTCCACATATGGGTAATATCTACAATGAGTATCAATTAAAAGAGCTTCTGAGAGAACAATGGGCACAACTACCTCAAGCAGACATTAACAATGTGATTCGGAGCATGAACAGTAGATGTAGAGCTGTGATAAACCAACGTGGTGGCCATACTTTATTGTAAGTTTATATTTCGTATTTTTGACATTTTATGGTGGTATGTGAAACATGCGTGATTTGCAATTTTTTTTTTGTTCCAATTTTCTGTTTTTTTTTGGCAATTTATGGTTTTTGACATAATAAACAACAATTTAAACTACAAATTTTGTATTACTTTTTTTAAGTTTATTACAGATAAAGAAAATACGTCTATTTATAAAAATATCCCTAGACTTTTGCGTTGTGTGTAGTTATTCTTTACATACGACAAATCTACAATTAAAACAACTTACAATCTGTATTAATTAACAATCAAATTAAAATCAAACAAAACAAACAAAATAATTCAGTTGGGTTTTATACACGGTTACCAGCTACTAACTTGACAAGGAGTTAATAATTTTTGTGAAATTATGCTAATGTGTTTCAATATATTCAAGAACAGACATATATGCCAACATTAATTATTGTTCATGTTCAGAGCGAAAAGATATTTTCAGCATATTGAACTTATTTTTAAATAAAATGCCAATACGGGATATACTATACTTATAGGTATTATAAATATAATCTTCAGTCCAAGTCAAGCTTTGTGTCAAATGGAACGCTCAATTAGGATATAATTTAGGTGTATCCTTCAATTTGCATTTCCCAAGATAACCGAAAAAACCACTTAGGTCACAAACTTAAATGAAACAATATAATGGGTACACCTAATTACTACTTATTTGTCAATTCCATAATAAATTCTTTTAGAAAAAAATATATGCTAACTTTTTTTTAAGATAGAAACAGTTAAGATATAGCTTTTCAATATGCTGTTGTTTGTTTGAGTTTATATGCGGACACTGAATCTATTCGCCAATTTTCAATATGGGTGAATATGTTTTTTCGATCTTTGATACTTAATATTTGATATTTAAAATAATCACTTTCTATGATGAAATTAACTAGTGATTTTGTTGATATTTGGGTAAGTGAATTTACCCAAATGCCAACATAATAATATCAACATACCCAAACATGAATTTTAAGCCGTATTATATAAAGGACATTGGTCAATTCCACTACTAAAATAATTTTACTTTGTATGATACATTATAAAACACTTACATGTAAATCTATGGCGAGCGCCCACCAAAGTGGCGTGGCAGTGGCAAGTAGCAAGTAGCAACGCGTCTAGCATAATGTAACCAATGAGTAACGTCATTAGAATGAATGACGTTACTGTCATTTTGATGTAAACTGAATCATTCGTTTTCATTGGTTACATTATGCTAGACGCGTGCTACTTGCTACTTGACACTGCCACGCCACTTTGGTGGGCGCTCGCCCTATGTCGCATTTTTTGCACCTTGTTATATAGTACAGTCACTGAAGGTTTTCACTCCGATTTCGTTCAACCTCCATCGATTTTCATGAAAATTGGTGAGTAGGTAGTTAGAGGATACCTTAAGAAACAAAAGTGACATAATGTTAACTTGCGCTTTTACCCGGGGGGTGGATGCCACCCTTTCTCGGTGGTGGAAATTATTTTATTCAAAATAACCCTAGTAATCGATAGAGTGACCAAATTTAAACAAAATTTATCTTATAAAGTTATTAAAATAAATCAATAATTTTTGAGTTAATAAATTATTTTTTTAAAATTATTATTTTAATTTAAAATAACCCTAGTAATCGATAGAATGACCAAATTTAAACAAAATTTATCTTATAAAGTTATTAAAATAAATCAATAATTTTTGAGTTATTGAAGATCAAAGATTTTGATTTTTCGTGAAAAAAATGCATGTTTTAAAGCGGTTTTTCATAAATAACTCGAATTCAAATAAATTCAAATAAATCATACTCAAAAATTGAAGCTAATAAAAAATTGAATAAATTCCTTGCTTGAAAAACCTTTTAATATTAATTCAAGGTGAGTTATTAAACGTATTTTTTTTCGTCGAGCACTCAAATCTGAATATTCAAGCTTAAATAACGGGAAAACAATGCGTTTTATAAAATATACTTATTGAACAATTTTCAAAGTAGGTACGCCATTTCCACAAAAATTAAAATTTACAGTAATCCCTATAAGACTTTCTTTATTTTAGCATAAGTAATGACATCAAAAATTTTGACTGGTTTAGAATGCATATTTTTGAAAAAAAAAATTGATTTAAAAATATCAAAATTCTTCAAATTTTCATAAATTTCATTTTTTTTTAAATAACTCCATTTATACTCAATATATCTACTTAAAAAATGATACAGAACAAAATTTGGAAAGGAGTTCTGTATATCTGCTCAAAAACATAGTGGGACTTTCTAGTATGTTGTGTGTATAATAAGTAAAGTGTATGTAAAGCTAATAAAAAAACATTGTTCATTATTTTTATGACAAGAGGTAGTTTTTAAGAGTGCAAAATTACGCAATGAATAAATACTTTAATACTCAGTAAATGAGATTTCAATTTAGCAATGTATTATTCAAAAAATTAAAGTTTCTTGAAATTAATTTTTCAATGAATCTGCTTAAGGGGTGGTTTTTAAGGGTTGAATCACAGTCAATCAAAAATTATATCATAAACATTAAAGAAACTATTTGGATAATATTAATATACGATTTGATATTTCCGAAATATAAAAAATGATTTTTTCATGTTTTGGATTTAAGGGATAGTTGCTAAAAGGGTTGAAAAATTAATTAAAATCATAATCATGCTTATAAATGTTACATGCAAAATATTTATTTTATTTAATTAATCGAGATGACTTATGCCAGAATGCTTAAATCTGCATTTTTTTACCATGTTTAACAAAAGGGTGAATTTCACCCCTAAAATGCAAACAGCGCAAGTTGGGCATATGTCACTTTTGAAGTTGAGGGTAAAATATACTCAATCCCAAATTCTCATGCAAATCGATGTAGTTTACCGGAAATCGGAGTAATAGTTAATTTTTACCTTCATTCACTGTACTAATAGTTTTTTGATGATATGCTGCATATCTTGTCTGCTTTTCCTGAGTACAATATTATTATCGAGCCTAGTATAATACTGTTACTTTTCTATAATTATGAATACGGTTTTTTCTTATAGTACCACTCCAAAAAAAAAGGAATCGGCAGTCCCGATATAGTACCACTCCCAAAAAAAGTCAGTCTATCTAATTCTAAAGGAATCGGCATATTTTAGCACAGTAGACGTTCCAACACCTAGATCTTTATATTTTTTGATAATATTTGTGAAAGCTCCCAGGTAGAGTTCGAACCAATTTATCTAGACTTGTCGCAAAGTAGTTACCGTGGAGTTACCATGTCTTCCTGTATAAGGAACAATCGCTTCATCTATACTATATCTTCCTCCAGATAGGAATTTTGCAAAAACTTTTTACTTAGTTGTGTAAAAATAGGTTTAACTTTAGCAAATTTGGCTTTAGCAACAAGTTCATTCTAGATGCCTTTTAAGCGCTGCCAGTACATTCTCCATCTAGGAAATGGAATTATATCAGTGAGCAAAAACTCTCCTATAAAACATCTTATTTCAGTCAAGATAATGCCTATTGTTTGGTTGTTCTGTGAAGCGTATCGATTCGTTTGTTCTGTAAGCACTTCTATGAGTTCGTCATCAAAAATTAAGTAAACAATACTAACAGGCTTTAGCGGATTTTAAGGCGAAGTAAAGGATTTTTCAAAATAGTTCTGAATAAGAGTTAAATCTTCTTTTACATTTTTTCTTTTTTTTTTTGTTTGCCGTTTTACATTTTTTGTTTTTGTTATCTTTACGCTAAGATAAAGTCAAATCATCTTCTATGTCCGATTCATAGTCATTTGGATTACGTTTTGAGGCTACTTCGACTTGACTTTGCATTTGAGCAGCAGATAAATTATTTATATTCACTTCATTCTCTTCATCTGAATAAGGTAATCATGTCACTATTTATTTGATCGTCGTCAACCATCGCTAAGACTTCATGCAAAGAAAAAGCCCTGAAAAAATGTATAATTACTGTTTGCAACAATATTAGCAGTTATAATAATATTAATTATTATTAGATTATCTAACAATCAAACAACAAAGATAGAGAACTGCTAAAGACTGTTAAACATCGAAAAATATCTTATCTGGGACATATAGTAAGGGGAAATCGATATAAAATATTACAACTGATCCTTAAAGGCAAAATAGAGGGCCGTCGAAGTATAGGAAGAAAACAAGTTTCTTGTTTAAAAAACATTCGTGAATGGACTCAAATATCAAATGCAGGACAATTATTCCATATTTCGGAAGATCGAGAAGCCTTCGCAATGATGATCGCCAACGTCGAATAAGTCTGATATGGTACGCGAAGAAGAAGAAGAAGAATCAAACACTGAAAACTTTTATTTTAAACGCTTTCACAAAATTTATTTTAAATTATTATCACTACAGCTGTTTCAACGGAGTGCCTTTCTCAAGTGTTCTATTTTTGGTAGTTGTTTACACTTAGTAGTCTTTCACTGAATAAGTTGAGGAGGGAAAACTGTTTGTCTCAAGTTGGTCATTCAGAATTGTCTGTATTTTTCTATTTTACTATTATTGAATGTCCTTTTATGTTCTGCCATACGTTTGATAAAAGTTCTACCAGTTTGACCGATATAATTTCTTGGGCAGTCGCTACATTTAAGTTTGTATACACCGTTGTGTAATCCTCTTTCTTCTGGCTCTTGTTGTTTTTAATGTATTTGTCTATTTACTATTATTGAATGTCCTTTTATGTTCTGCCATACGTTTGATAAAAGTTCTACTAGTTTGACCGATGTAATTTTTTGGGCAGTCGCTACATTTAAGTTTGTATACACCGTTGTGTAATCCTCTTTCTTCTGGCTCTTGTTGTTTTTAATGTATTTGTCTAAGTTGTTGTTTGTTTTAAAAGCTGGTGTTGTTCCTTCCTTTTTTAAATTATTATTTTTTTGGAAAAATAAAAAAATTAAAAAAAAATAAGTCCACTCAAAATCCATTTTGAGAACGATTTCCGAAGTGGAAATTGAAACGTCAATAAACTTACTTTAACCTTTAATTGTCTCTTATTCCCATTAAAACAATAATTACTGTCTAATGATGTGTCACACATTTTAACATACAGAGTCTAGATTGTTAAAATATGTCCCGTTTAAAATAAAAATCGACCTGTTTCGGTATTTTGCCAAATATCAGAGTGGACTTTTTTGAGTGGCGATCCTATAATATATATATAATATATATATATATATATATATATATATATATAATATATATATATATATATATATATATATATATATATATATATATATATATATAAAATAAAGTTTTATTTTGAGGATGCGTCATTTAAGTAGGGCAGGATAAGTAAAACTCTTTGTTCTTAAATCAAGCTTTCGCAAAATTTATTTGCTTCATCAGGATATGCTAAAATATGTTATGGTAAATACAATGAAATTAGAATTAAGAAAAACATTGTATAAAACTATATAAAAACTTACAACATGAGGTTAAACCATTAAATTATTAAATTCACAAAACACTATTAATTTTTCCTAAATTATATTTTTATGCAAGTACAATATTTTAATTTTGAATATATTATGACATTGATTAATAATGATGTTTGATATATGTCAGAAAGACACTCGTGTCTGTTTTTATTATTGATAATTAGCTCTAGATTGTTATTATGCTTACGTAAAAAGTGGCGCCAAATATGAATATTTAAATTTTTGAAAATATAGTATTTATAGTCAGAAAATCATATATTAGAAAATTAAAGTATTAATTTTCGTAAGATAGAATGTAATTATAGATATTGCTGAGTTTGTTAATATCAGTTTTTTTATTAACGCATTGATATTTATTTATGCATACCATTTCTAAAAATTCTCTTTTATTTAATTGGTTTTCACGTCTTAATATATTAGTTTCATTAAAATTAAATGAATGAATAAAATTTAAAATAAAATTAAATAAA